ACGCCATCGCGCGAACACACCGATTCGGCCCACCTAACGGAGGTGGACCGCGTAATCGAGACTAGGGCTGCGCTTCCACCGGAAGGCGAACCTTTAAATTCAGTGACCCCCGAAGAGGTCCAAGATATTATTAAAAATTTAAAACCAAAATCCGCCCCGGGCCCAGATAATATAAGTAATAAGGTTCTCAAAGCTCTCCCTGGGCCGCTTATCTGTTTACTGGCGACAATTTTCAATACCCTTCTCTCCAGTTGCTCCTTTCCGGACGACTGGAAGCAAGCGACGGTTATCGGCATTCGCAAGCCGAATAAACCAGCCAATAAGCCCTCCAGCTATCGTCCCATCAGCATCCTCAGTTGTCTGGGGAAGCTCTACGAGCGGCTATTGTTAAACAGGCTCAAAGAGCACGTATTTTCCAACGGCCTTCTGCCGACGGAACAATTCGGCTTTCGAGCTAGACACTCTTGTCCCGATCAGTTATACCGCCTAACGGAGCACATCCTAAAAGGCCTTAACCACCCCAAACACATCAGTACAGGGGCTCTCTTCTTCGATATCGCAAAAGCATTCGACAAATTCTGGCACAACGGCTTGCTTTACAAGCTGTACACACTCAAAGTACCAGATAGGCTCGTACACACCATCCGGGCCTTTTTGTTGAACCCTTCTTTTCGATATCGAGTCGAGGGCACCCTCTCCACAAGCCGCCGCCTCACGGCCGGCGTACCACAAGGCTCCTGCCTCTCACCCTTGCTATTTACGCTCTACACGAGCGATACCTAGAGACCCCCACGTCAATCTCGAGCTTTTCGCGGATGACACGGCACTCTTTTACTCAGATCGCAACCTCAGTCAATTAACAACTCGACTCCAAAGCGCCGCCGACCGCCTCGGCGATTGGTTCCGCAAATGGAGAATCGATATTAATCCAGAAAAAAGTGTGGCTATTCACTTTACTCGTAGCACCCCCAACCCCCATCCGCCACACCGTTACAAAGGTCCTCGCCAGTACAGAAAGTTGGGGCAAATATCACTATATGGCCAAACTCTCCCCTGGGAGAAAACGGTATTTAGGAGTCACTTTCGACTCGCGTATGACTTTCACTACGCACATCAATCAAGTCCGAAATAAAGCCGCGTTCGTCTCCGGCCGGCTACACAATTTAACGAATAAGCAAAGTAAAATGCCCTTAAGGCACAAACTACTGTTATATAAAGCTTGCGTAAGGCCAATCATGTCCTACGCTTGCATGATCTTCGCACACATAAATCCTACGCGCATTAACAAATTGCAAGTAGTTCAAAGTAAGTTTATCCGTCGCGCAACCGGTGCGCAATGGTATCAGCGCAACGACCTGCACAGCGATTGCAGACTCCCGACGATTCGCGCACATTTTAAAGATTTGACAAAACGGTTCTTCGATAGAGCCCAGCATCATCCCAACCCTCTGGTGGTAAGCGCAGCAAACTACCAACCGGACAAAAACGCGAACGTAAACAAACGTCGCCCGCGAAACGTCCTCATCGACCCGGTCGACGAAGAGGACTTAGATACGATGGACCCACCGCCGGGGGTCCCGCCGGATAACACTTCACCCACAGTTAGTGTAACAACAATCACACCAGTTCGCCCTCGCCTCCGAGCACGGCGAGACCCACACAACGCGTACACAAGGTACACCCGCGTTCCGGGGCGGTTCTCACCGCTCCCAGCCACCGATTAGCTAAATGCACAGTCGACGGCCGTCGGGGTCTCGGTCCGACCCGGCGACCTCGACGGCCCTTAGATGACACACCATAGTAGTTAAACGCACGCATGAGCACATGCGCGACCCTACCCATAGCGCAGGGTCCAAACCCGTGGGTTCTGGCTAGCCCACCGGTTCTGCGTCCGATGAAGCTTTAATAGTCTCGGGACTGAAAGCAAAAACATCAGTTAATACAAGATACAAGACAAGATATTATAACCCCAGTTCAAATTCCGTCTGCCGACACAAATACAATTGTTACTTTTAAGTGCTGATTTATCAAGAACTTGGCAATAAAAGAAAACATCGTGAGGAAACCTGCATATTTTTGAAATAAAAAGAGTTTTTTCAAAGGTGTTTGACTAAACCCTAATACCCTCTGCATAGAGGAAACCTTTGAATTTGTGAATACCTGCTATATATATCTGCTGTTACTATAGTCTTCTTTCTTTTTATATCAAAAGATAAAATAAATACAATTTTCATTACGTATACACCAAACGAAGAAAAAGACTTCGCAGCGAGAAGTTTTTACTGCCATTATTACAGTAGACTACGTCACTTAATACAGGTTTCGTACGTGCTACGATAATAATGTGTCACCATACCATAAGGGCAGCCACTGTTTATAAAACTGGCCAGTGCCTGACCACTCACCTAATTTTCCAGTTTCTAATTTTAAAAAATGTGAAAAATCACCATAAATAGTTTATAGGAAACTGGCCACCTACTTTTATTACAGTTTAGCATACCAATAAAAAAAACTATTTCGCATAAAAGCAACGTAGACGTGCTTTACATGTTGCGTGACTAAATAAAAGTTTAATGTTTCGGTCATAAATTGAAGAAATCGTACCGAATAAAATGGAATGCCGGAATTTATTTACTCATACAACAATTAGTAAACTGCCATAGGTGATAATGTGGACTAAGTGGAAACAATACGGACTATGTATTGTCTTCCACTTAGTCCACATTATGAATATCAATGAATATCAGAAGTATTAATTTTGTATTTAATAAATCCCATGCACTCATCTGGATAGAAACTATCTGCATATACAAATATTTTACATACATAAAGCAAAAATAAATAACTTCAATAGAACATACAAACTACATATACTACACGATGATTCACATTACAATCCCCAATATTACCATTGAATAATTAAATAATTGTTCCATATCAAATTTCAAAAGGAATTTTTTTAACGCACGCTTTCAGCATTTGAGTAATACGATAATATCTGTTTTTGCCGATAAGACACGTGTTTTCCGCCGTAACAGATATTTGCTAGCAATGCGAATTCATAAATTAAACTACGCAATTTTCTGTTACTCAATGCGTTCTGATTTTACATTACTTCAATTTTCCAAGCGTTAATTGCATATTTTAAAAATTGACTACCGAAAAGTGACTCATTTGCTATTGACGAATTAATAATCAAAAAGGCTTAAGACGACTACCCTCGTGTTTCAACTTCAACAACCGTGGAAAAAACTAAGATTGTAAGAGGAAATCTTCAAAAGGTACTCTACCTCCCGGGGGTAAAGGAGTGGTTAAATGTGATTTTACAATAAACTCTTTCGTGAAACCCATAAAAGCGAGGATTGTCAGTTCTAGTGCATAGCAGGTGCCAGCCACTCGTCCATCTAGATTTTACCATATGGTCCACCAAAGTTTTCAAATTGTCTCGCAAATTTCTTCGAACAAAACCAAACCCTCATCGTGATAGAAATATGCGTAAACCATCGTTAGGTCGTTGCTTCTACTGCAAATTTATATTGATTCATCGTACAGGCTGTGCAGTTTAACAAGTGAAGCATTTTCACTGACAAAAACAAAACCGAATTCAAATATCTCACTCATTATATTTTTTTTTTATTTGAGTTTAAGGAGTTCCTTGATTTATCTCCTGAGTAGAAGGTCAATTACCAATTAAAGGAATATGGGACGACATGGGAGCTAAACCGCAACCAAGGCAAAAGGAATTATTAAAATCGGTGCATAAATGACGCAGTTTTAAAGTAGCAAACATATGTAAAAAAACACACATAACTCAATTGACGTCCTCCTTTTTGAAGTCGGTTAAAAATCTCCATCCGCGAGTTAAAATATAGATCTTTAATCAGGCGGATGTCGTCTTTATTTAAATTAAAACAAAGGCGATATGCGAATTATAAAACAAATACAGTTCCGCATCAATCAAGATCTACGAACCACGTCAATATTGAATACACTTGTAAAATCAACAAATCGTGTAAATATTGGACATCTGCTCATCACTTGCGATGCTCCTTTATTTTTACTGTACCTAGAAACATATTCCGCACACAACTATCTATTTAGTATCTCTATTGAAATGTAAAGTATTAAACACAAAAAAATGTAAGAAAAAACAAACAAAATGAGAAATACATTTTCAATAACAATATAATTATTAACTGAGCAAAATATTATATTATTTACTAATAGACCATGTCGCATTTACTAGACAAAATGTCTAGCAAACGTGACATAGTGGTTGAACTTTTGAGCGAGTAAAAAACTGACCTTCTTATCATCGTCTCTGCAAAAATAATTAAATTTATAATATATTTACTAAAAAGTAGTAAAGTAACAGCCTATACATGTCCCACTGCTGGGCAAAGGCCTCCTCTATATAGAGGGTATTAGGGTAGAGGGTAGTATATTTACTAATATTGAGATAATGAAGGTGACAAACTAAGTGCACCATACAGACGTTGGCCATTACGCCATTAGAAACACTCAAGAGTTTGCATAAACTCATTCAGCATAGACCTATATAATGTTCTTGATGGTCTCCGGGTCACAAATATACTCTCTTCTTCAAGGTTTCTAAAGTCCATTTGTTCGTGACAATTTATTCCACGGTGTAGAACGTAACAAAAGATTCCTTAAATAACGCGCTCTGTTTATCTACTGTTAAACTAGATTGTGTTAATAGAAAAGAGTTCGACTTTTAGCTAAACGTAATTAATTATAATTTTTAAATGTTCTGCCTAAACTTTCTTAGATTTGAGTTTCGCTCTCTTTAATAGACCTTGGATCTTTTTACAAATTTCGTCTAATTGGAATGTGATATTTGGTAGTTTATACGAACTCCCTCGTTGTATATTTTGTTATCACGCCATAAACTCTAAAGCTTGTCTTTGTCGTAGTGAATTCTGTAGTTCCCTTAACTAGTCACACAGCATGGCATTATTGGCGATTCATCATTCAACAAAATGACCCATGCTGTACGGATAGACCAACGCGACCTGGTGAATACCACGACCTCGCAAAAGACCAGCGAGAAGTGTACGCACACGGTGCAACCCTACAGAAGATCCAGCGGCTGTAAGCACTCGGAATGCGGTGAACTTGTCGCTGGTCACTTTTTAAAAGTGAGTAGGACTCGAGCACGAAGGGTTCCGTACGATTATTAATAAAAACGGCAAAAAAATCAGGTCTTTTGTAAGGGAGCCCCGCTTAAATGTCTTTTTATTCTGTTTTTTAATATTTGTGGTTATAGATGCAATAGAAATGCTGTGAAAATTTTCAACTGTCTAACTAAAACGGTTCATGAGATACAGACAGACAGACAGCTTAGTAATAGAGTCCCGTTTTACCCTTTGGGTACGGAACCCTAAAAAGACATTCCTACATCCTAACGACTATATGACATGTTTGCGAATCATTACGTATAACATAAAATCTGAGGCTTTTTATTTTATTACCAGTTTATTCACCTGACTGTTTAACTTGTAAAGGGTTAGAATCCATTGTATTTATAATAATGTCTTCCTTTTATATCATCATAACATATATAATGTACATAAGGAAGTATGTCTCCGTCCTTAGGAGACTTTACGACTACTAGTTCCTTTGTTATCGTACAAGCTTCTCGCTTATTTGCAATGATCGTAACATCTTCATACATGTAAAATGTGCAACATAACATTTGCTACGCGAACATGTGACCTAACAAATTAATTTCAATTAACGTAGCTTAATCGTAATATATTTGTTTAAAACATCGTTATCAATACGAACAACGTCAACGTAACAACTTCCTATTAACAAAGGTGTCATTTGTGTTTTAGAAATACATTGTAACCTTTTTTTCAACCGTAGGGTTGAACATGCGTTGTCAACTTTTAATAAAGTGGGCTCCGACTACCTCAATCATCAGACGAAACGCAGAAGAATCACACTTCCACTTCACGCCGGTCTTCTGTGAGGTCGTGGTAATTACCCGAACGAATCTGCCCATTTGTGCAACACCCAAGACTATTGCGTGGCCCCACCACAGTTCATTATTGGGTTAATCTCTCGTTCGCAACCTTCCCCTTTTTATGTGAAAAGTTGGCAAGCGAGCAGACGGTTCACCTGGTGTTAAGTGATTACTGCCAACATTAAAACAAAGCAGATGCGTTGCCAACCTAAGGCCTTGGTCACCTCTCCCTCGAATATATTCCTTCCACTTCACGCCGACTGTTTGTGAGGCCGTGATAAATCTTTGGATTCAGGGCTAGCAGCTTCTGTTACAACGGATTAAGGGTTGTAAATCCTGCACAAATTGCTCACATAGGTTTTAACCTGACCTCCTATCTACACGTCCACCAGCAGCGAAAGAACGTAAAATTCCGACATCTCTCCGTTTCGCACGCGCCGCAACAATTATATTGAACAACACTCCGCTTAAAAGGTCCGCCGATTACTTAATAATATTACTGAGATAGGCTTGTCCGTCCGTAATATGATGTAACCCGCTAATAAAACGAATGCTGGGCGAATTTTTTATGGTGCATTAAAGTGGATGATGACTTAGAGGCATTTCAGTAATAGTTAGAGGCGCTAAAACTACGTAATGGAACGTACTCTACACGCTCCATTGCGATTTGTAAATTGACATATTTTTGAGGCTTATCAACTTTTAAGAGTGCGTACGTACGGTACTGACAAGTTACAAATACGTGTTTAGTGTCCCGATCGAACTTTTAGTTTCGGTTTCGACCTAGTTTCGGTTTTGACCTAGTTTTGGTTTCGGCCTAGTTTTGGTTTCGGCCTAGTTTTGTTTTCGGCCTAGTTTTGGTTTCGACCTAGATATGACAGAAAAAGTTATTTAGGTACAGTTTCAGTTTCGGTTGCTACACAGCCGAAACTATGGCCGAATTTGAAAATATATTCGGGTGGTTTCACGCTGCGATCTGATAAATTAGTGCACTAAGCTATGAGCTACGAAATATTTTCTGCCGCGTTCGCTTTTACAGTCATGAGTAGTTTCGGGCATAGCATGTTTTCTTAGTTTTGTTTATGATTTTGTTTTTATATAAAACCTTTAAAGCGAACAGGTGATTCACCTGATGTTAAGTGATAACCGCCACCCATGGATATTGGCAACACCCGTATGGTTGCAAATGCGTTGCCACCTTTAAATAAAGTAGGCCCTGGCCACCTCACTCAACAGGCGAAACGCAGAAGTGTAACACTTCTACTTTACGCCGGTCTTCTGTGAGATCGTGATACTTACCCGGATGGACCTGCCCATTCGTGCAACAGTGAACACTGTTACGTGGCCCTTAATCATTGTTAAGAAAAAAAAAAGTTAAGACGTGATCATTGTTAAGAAAAAAAATTAACTGTTAACGATAATGTTTAATATATTTACCCCCACTAAACATGACCGTTTCGGATGGCAGTTTCGTTTTCGGGGACCAAGGCTGAAATTCGGTTTCGGTTTCGGCAGTAAAAATACTATCATATATGTATAACAAATAATGGCTTTGATCACACCCAATCGTTATTTTTTGTTTCTCAGACATTTTTAATTTTTTTTCCTGACCGAACTCTACTCTGTACGTTTGTTCGTACCCAATCATTTATGATTCTTTTTTATTATATTTAACACAAATTAAAATTACTAGATAAATTGACGAAAAGTTTAGCTGCTACGGAAATCGAGCCCGAACGTCTTCCGTAATCGCGCGCGAGGATCCATAACGGGTTCTTCGTAAAAAAATATAGTATATACTATCGTAAATGATAGTCTATGATTCACACCCGGTATGTGGACTGGAGCTCCGCATGGAACAATGACAACTGCACCTTTGTTTTTGTTCTTTTTGGGTTTGAGGCACCGGTAACTGTGTAACCGATTACTTGTAACAGAAACACACATTACACACCCCTAGGATTGGGCACGCTTTCATCCCCTTCCTCGACCGTTTGTATTATTGAGAAGACACTAATTCCGCAACTTCATAAACAGTCGCGCTGAATCCGATTGGTAATTTGCTTCGCTGTGTTTATCATGCCATAAGGTTCGGATAATTACCATGAAGTGATCGCGTATCGTAAGTGGAGCCTGCAATCGCTGTGCGTGTAGACTTTCTGTAATAGCACCTTACACCGTTTTTAACACGGATCGATTTACTTTGGATGATTTAAGGCATCATTTCTTTCTTACTGGCTACAGTAGGGGTATGAAAAAGGCCGTTACGCTGACAAGCCTTTGCTACAATTTATGAGCCATAATGCAATTGATAATGAGGGACTAAAGGCAAGTTGGAAGTAATGCAACCGATTATGGTCATAAAATATTTAACATGCCTGTATCATCAACGTCTATCAAGAAAGAATACCCCTTATTGTTATTTAACACATCAGTCTGGATTCCCTAACACCATATCTATGCACCACCATATACCAACCTATATAATTTGAGAATGTTGTTCACAAATATTTTATACAATCCTAGCGGACCCGACAGACGTTGTCCTGCAAACACGACTGAAATCCGAAAACAACTTATAAATAAAAAAAAATGTGGACTGAATTGTGAATCTAAAGCATTCTCGAATCGACCTGAAGACACACACAAAATTGCATTAAAATCGGTCAAGCCGTTCAGGAGGAGTTCAGTGACACACACACATACAGATGAATTATATATATACATAAAGATGATGGTGCACAGATCACATTTAGACGCAATCCCCCAATAAAATAATTGTCCAATTTTGCATGAAAACATTTTCATCTCATTGCGGAAGGCTAGTTTCAAGTGGAAAATCACAATCGTCATTATTCGTTGAAAATATAGTTCTCAATAATGTTACTAATGCGACTATAAACTAAACTATACGAGTATTATGTGCGTTGCGCACACATTGCATAGATTATGCTGTTAGCGTAACGTTCCGATTATACTAAAAGCCGTTAACCGCAACTTGTAACGGTAACGGCGATCAATCCGTTAACTCGAAACAAACCACTGCTTGCACACCTCTCGCTTTCCTTTTAAGCAAGTAGACCAAGTACTAATTCTGGCATTTGTTGACAATTGCTAATTATACACTGGTCCTTTCTCTGAGAGATCAAGATAGAGATATCCAAATTAAACTCCAACCAATATGAGATTTTGTTGTTTTTATGTGAAAAGTAGTCTTTTTTTTTTAAGGAACACTGCCCTTGCTATGCGAAACAATTATCTGTGGGTCGCACAAATAGTTGTCCCGTGTGGAAATCCTACCCACGACCCTCGACGCTGAAGCCAATACCTTGGCAACTGCGCCACGGAGTCATCATAGCCGCGAGCAGACAGTTCACCTGATGTTAAGCTGTTACGGCTGCACATGGACATCTACAACACCTGAGGGTTTACTTGAGATAGCCTTGACAACCTTTAAACATATGGTCCCGGTTATCTCACTGATCAGACGAAACGCAAAAGTATAATGCTTCCATTTCAAGATGGTTTTGGTCTTTTTTAGGGTTCCGTACCCAAAGCCCATTACCCTATTACTAAAGCTCGGCTGTCTGTCTGCCTGTCTGTCCACCTGTCATCAAGCTGTATATCATGAGCAGTGATAGTTAGACGGTTGAAATTTTCGAAGATGATGTTTTTCTGTTGCCGCTAAAACAAAAAATAAAATAAAACAGTATATGTAATAAAACAAAACATAATATGATTTTTTCCCGTTTTTATAGATGGCCGTATGATGGTACCCTTGGTGCCCGAGTCCGACTCGCACTTGGCCGGTTTTTTTTTTTTTATAACAAATACAACAAATACGCCAGTTGAGTGCATCCAAGTTAATGCTAAGTGGATATGCCTCCTGCTCAATAGTTGTGTGGTTGAAGCAATTCTTAGTAGACTTCAGCCGTGCGTTACTTCCAATTTCGTCTGTAATGTCGAAATTCAAAGTATACGAAACGTACTTTATTTTAAGGTTATTTTTGGAATAAATCGAGATTGGAACGCGACCGCCTAGCTTATGCGATGGGCGACCCAGATGCATACTATGTCGAAGCCTCGATTCTAGAGCCGCTTGAAGATACAACAAACACTTTCACCTACTGAACTCAGAATTCAAATTAAATCGGCAACAAACATTACGAATGAAGTTTTGAAACAGATTTTAATTTCTTTGAAATGTATAATTAGAGACGATCATGATATGTTCGCTTATGAATAATAAAAATAGAGTTTTATGTCTAAATATCCGCTCGGCTAAGAATGATGTTCTACAAGTTATTTCCGCTGTAAAAGATAAGAAACTGATTAAATTAAATGGGTCAAGGTTTTCGTCGATTACTCGAAATAAAGTTATCAGTGGAGGTACTATTAATTTTAGTTCTTAAATACAACCCAAGCAAAAATCGTGTTCACGATAATATATTTACAGCCAGATTATGTTCTTCTACTAACAACCAAATTATAGCTTCTATAAACATCCAAACTATAGCTTATTCAACACTAGCGATCCACCCCGGCTTCGCAGGGGTGCAATGTAGTATAAATATAAACCTTCCTCTTGAATCACTCTATCTAGTAAAAAAACACATCAAGATCCGTTGCGTAGTTTTAAAGATCTTAGCATACATAGGGATAGACAGACAGCGCGAAGACTTTCGTTTTATACTAGTGATGTACTATGTACTATATAACCAAAGCTTCTGTAATGAGGTCCCTAAAATAAGCGAGATCTTTAAATAAACCACTTTTATGATTCTATTATAATTAACTAGGTACATACATGTATGCTTATACAAGCATTATACATTGTATCTTGATTAGTACATAGAGTAAGCGTAACTTTAAAAACCTTTGGAAAATAATGTCTATTTATCAGAAATGTACCATTGCAAAGGCAAACGCCTCCTCTCTTATTTCACCTCCCATTATTTAATGGACATTACAAGTATGCTAGCTGGGTAGAGCCGTAATAGCTCAGTGTCCGGGCGCTCGCCTTTCATTTAATATACTCGAGCTACCTGAGTTCGATCCCCGTTTCCGGCACCAATGAAATTGTTAATTTTAAGTGCCGAATTATCACGCGCTGAGCGGTGAAGGAAAACATCGTGAGGAAACCTGCATATTTTCGAAATAATATTTAAAAAAAAAATATTTCGAAGATATGTGAAGTCCGCCAATCCGCAGTGGGGCCGCGTGGTGGACTATGCCCTGATACCCTCTGTACAGAGGAGGCCTTTGCCCAGCAGTGGGACATGTATAGGGCTGATACTTACAAGTAAGCTTAAGACTTTTTATTTTTTTAACATTAACATAATTTAAATGACATTACATCGAATCACTAACACTAACAGATAGTCGCCACTTTTACTGTTTTTTCTACTGTGGATCCCAAACGCAGCAATTACTTGTAACTTCGGATCCGGAGTTAGAAGCTACTGTCGAATTATTATCGAAATGTTTTACTTTCATTTTTCTAACAGTGTACCTCGTTATATATTTCTGTAAGTCCTATTACAGACAAATGACTTGAGTTGTCGTTCATTTCGTTTTTGTATAATAGAAAAAAATTTATGAAGTATATAAAACGATTTTACCTATGAAGTTGCCGTCCTTCAATACTGGCCATTTTAACCAAAAAAGTTTTGGTTGGCTGTGAATAAATTCTAAATTAATCAATTTTTTTTTTTCAAAAACATAAAATTATTTTTACAAAATCCGTCTTTTGTTTATTGATTAGCTTGTTACTTTCATTATATTGGAAAATTTTTCGTCATAATCGGTAGACACTTTAAATAATCGTGTAATTATCGAATATGAGTTCCGTCGTGGCACCAACGCGGCACAAACGGCACGTAACATCAGCTACGTTTACGGAGAGAACTTCTCAAACGAACTCCCAACCGTATTTGGCTTGCCCGGTTCTGGCAAATTTTGACTTGAAACATGAACCGCGTGGATTGTAAAAGCCAATGATACTCAATCTACAGCCGAGCTTTTGATGGTCACGGTTTGGTTGACTAGTGCCGGTACGATTCCACGAGCTTTTTACAAAACGGCATGAGCATTGCTGCAGATGTCTACTGTGAAGAACTGAAGACAATTATAGAGAAGCTCGCACATCTTCAAGAGTTGGAATTGGAAGCTATCCACCACCTGCCAAATTTACCAGTCCTTGCACCTATCGACCGTTACTATTTCCAAAATTTGGACAAATTTTTAGCGGGAAAGAAATTCAATTCCCGAGAGGCAGTATAAATTGCCTTCGAAGATTTTTTTGCCTCCCGTCCAGTTTATTTTTACAAGAAGGGCATCAATAAACTACTGCGTTGGCAAAAATGCATCGATTGCACGGTGATTACATTGAAAAAAGAAATACTTTAACTTATTTCACACAAAAAGGCTATTGCATAGGTAAAGACCTAATATGTACTTTTTAAATGGGTCATGCAGTAGCCTAGTCTGTAGTATCCTCGAGTCGGGGAAGTACCGATAATACTGATGACTGGATTGAAATAGAACTGTCTACACAATTTCGTTCTTTCACTGAGATAACTGGACTGCTCCTAAAGGTTAGCATTCATTCAAATTGCAACCCATGTGTGTGGTCGTCTTTACTTTTCAATACTTCACCATTTTCTCGTAGAGAAATCAAAGATTATAGGACACTACTGTCCGGCCTACGATTATATGTTGTAGTAGTGTATCCCCTACGTCAAAATGATAAACTCGTAATATATAAAATACCAATTATAAAGGTCGTTACCCACTTGCGTCGACAATTTCGCCGGCCCGATACGAGGCCGCGTGACGTAACCATAAGGTTGGCTCACACCGCGCTGTTCCGGTCATCCGAGAGCGCACGTAACGCAGTTGCGTCAAGACGGCCGCGTCGTTTCCAACGCCGCCGACACAAAGTCGGAATTTTGCTAGCCGAATATTTTTTGTTGAACAAATAATCGACAGTTCAAAGAAATCAACGAGTGATTTGTAAGCTGTCCATCAATGTAAAACAAACTTAATGCAAAATCTCTGTCCATACATGTAAAACATGTATGTATGGGTAGACCGAGAAACTACCACGGCCTCAAAGAAGACCGGCGTTTAGTAGAAGTATTAAACTGTTGCAATTTGTCTGCTAAGTGAGGTAATCAGGGCCCATTTCTTTGAAGGTTCATAACACATCTGTTACCTTTGGAGTTGTAGATGCCCATGAGTATCATTTAACATCAGATGAACCACCTGCTCGCTTGCCACACTATCACAATACTAATGATTTTTTTTTAAATCTTTGGTACACTCCCGACTGATTGATCCATTCATGAAACAGTAGAAGCGGCTGCATTACTTTACAGTAAAACGACTCCGTTGGCTCCGTTTCTAAGGCTTCCGCGCCGCGGGACACTAGTTCGATTCCCACTCGAGATAAGTATTTGTGTGACCCACATAAAATCTTTCGGAACTCGAAGTTTTTCTGTTAGAAATATGTGTATGTAAGACGTCATACAAAACAGGGTAATGTTATTCTACAATGAGACTATAAAACACCAATATGACTGCTAATATTCTCATTAATGATTATTTAATTATTTGAGAATATGCAATTATATTCCGCTAGTATTTATCTTTCGCACGTCCATAAATATATTTTTATTTAATTAGTTTGTTTGAAAAATATATTTTTTTAATTATAGATTTTTTTTACGTTTTATATTTTTTTTATAATTATTTGGCAAGTAGCGCTAGATGTGTGTTCATTTATTGTCGCGGTTGTAAAGACACGCTGTATACATATAACATTAAAATGTCGCTTTAATTTTTTTATTTTTGTGTTTTTGTTATATGTGTGTGATGTCCGATGAACGTGGGCATTCGCATTTTATCCGTACGCACACACGCGCAGTCATTAAAAGCGGCAAAATAAACACGGTTGCGCGCGTGTGCGTACAGGAAAGAGTTTTGTGGGACAGAAGAGAACAGGTTCTCCGTCTGTTGTGCACCGCGACCCCGTTAATGTAAGATATTTTGCACAGACGACAGACAAACATGTAGAAAGAGCCACAAACATACAGACACTTGCTATTCAAATTCAAATGTCTTTATCCATTGTAGAAGCATAACACTTACTTATTGATTGTCAAAATAGTACTAACGATTCCGAAAAAATGCCCCTGACACGAGAAGAACTGAAGAACTGCAAAAGCATTATATATTAAAGTACGCTTTGATTAAATCGTTTTAAATTTAATGGAGGAATTTTGATTTAGACACAACGTTCCCCAAACTAAGGTCCCTTTGTAACTGATAAACTTCCCTTAGTAATTTTTTTTAAATACTTAGGTATTGTCGATATATAATAACACTGGAAAAATATTACATTCATGACACATTTTTCCAGTAATGGGATCGAACCCAAACCCTATGTCGTAACAGGTTTTTTTTGTAGTAATATGTAATAAGTCATTTTTGTAGACATGCATTAAAAAGTATGTTATTTTTAAACTAATAAAGATCACTGCAACATTAGGCCAAGACAAAAGAATAAGGTCAAAATCAAATTTTTACTTGATCACAAATTAAGGCTTTTTTTATGAAACATTACACTTACGTACGTTTACGTTTACGTTTTTACAAACATAAATTTCACATGTACAAACACCTAGATGCGAAACAACTGTCAACAATCTGTTGACAGTTGGGTCGCACAAATAGTTCTCCCGTATGGGCATCGAAGGGATTTGTAGTGAGATGTTTAAATATTACGAATTATCTTAGACTTCTATTCGATTCTTAATTCATCGTAAGTCCTCGGTCAGCACAATGAAAATTTACAGTTCTAATGTCAAATATCAACTTACGAAATGCCAGTGAATCATCTTCGGTCAATCTCTATTTATTTAATTAAGATTCGACATCATCGTAAGAATTAAGCAACCGTATAAAAATCGTTCTTATTGTTCAAACAATTATAGGACAGCACAGAATCAATAACATTTATCCTATAGACCAAATGAAACATAAAACAACTAAAAAAAAAAACAACTAAGATATTATAGAAAATATGTACATAAAGTAAAGTAAAAAACAGCCTATACATGTCCTACTGCTGGGCAAAGGTCTCCTCTGCACAAAGGATATTAGAACATAGTTCACCACACCGACTCCACGGAGGATTGGCGGACTTCACATATCTTGGAAATATCTATTTTTTGTATTTATTTCCAAAATATGAAGGTTTCCTCTAGATGTTTTCCTTCACCGTTTGTATGGCTATGGGACATGCGTAATTTTTCCCTACATATTATAAAACGAAGTCGTTCCGCTGTCTGTCTGTCTCTATGTATGCTTAGATCTTTAAAACTGCACAACGGATCTTGATGTTTCTTTTACTAGATAGAGACCGACAAGCTTACATTACACTTTTTAAATTCGAAAAGTGAACATGGATCATTGTATTTATTTTAAGTGCAGACTTATTACTTCTCCTACGGTGAAGGAAAACATCGTAGGGAAACGTCCATATTTTCTTCGTAATAAAAAAAATATTTCCAAGATATGTGAAGTTCGCCAATCGGCGGTGGGGTCGTGTGAGTACTCGGACACTGAGCTATCATGGCTCAATAATACAATAGGCTTACTAAAATTATTACACGAACTTTATAGCCTTTTCTTTTGTTTTTAGTTTCGAACTCCACAGCATTCGTGGTGGTACTGATTAGGTTTTTTACGTCCTAACGTCACATTTATCCCGGGCTACCGTAATTTTTTTAGGATTCCGTACCCAAAGCGTAAAACGGGACCATATCACTAAGACTCTGCTGTCTGTCTGTCCGTCTGTCACCAGGTTGTATCTCCTGAAATTTTCACAGATGATGTATTTCGGTTGCCACTATAACAGCAAATAATAAAAAAATAGAATAAAAGAATATTTAAGTGGGCTCCCACACAATAGACATGATTTTTTGCCGTTTTTACGGATAATGGTGTACGAAATCCTTCGTGCGTGAGTCTGATACGCACTTGGCCGGTTTTTTATAATTACACCTTATCGTTAATTTATTCATTAACTGAATTATGAAAATTATGTTTTAAGTAATCTAAGCCAGAGTTTGGTATAATAGGTGCAAAGGCTGAATTTTACATATATATATATATAATAAAAAAAATATATCCATTCAAAACGAGTTTTCTCAATTATTTTTGTTATTTAATGAATAAAAACTACAATTATACTTGTCTTGTATCTTGTATTAACTGATGTTTTTGCTTTCAGTCCCGAGACTATTAAAGCTTCATCTGACGCAGAACCGGTGGGCTAGCCAGAACCCACGGGTTTGGGCCCTCCGCTGTGGGTAGGTCCTCGCATGTGATCATGCGTGCGTTTAACTATGGTGTGTCATCTAAGGGCCATCGAGGTCGTGGTTCGGACCGAAACCCCGATGGCCGTCGACTGTGTTTTTAGCTAATCGGTGGCTGGGGGCGGTGAGAACCACCCCGGAACGCGGGTGTACCTTGTGTACGCGTTGTGTTGTTCTCGCCGTGCTCGGAGGCGAGGGCGAACTAGTGTGTTTGTTGTTGCACTAACTGTGGGTGTAGTGTTGTCCGGCGGGACCCCCGGCGGTGGGTCTGGCGTATCTAGGTCCCCTTCCTCGACCGGGTCGATGAGGACGTTTCGCGGGCGACGCTTGTTGACGTTCGCGTTTGTGTCGGGTTGGTAATTTGCTGCGCTTATCACCAGAGGGTTGGGATGATGTTCGGCTCTATCGAAGAACCGTTTGGTCAGGTCTTTAAAATATTCGCGAATAGTCGGGAGTCTGCAATCGCTGTGCAGGTCGACGTTGCGTTGATACCACTGCGCACCGGTTGCGCGGCGGATGAACTTTCTTTGTACTATTTGCAACTTGTACAAGCGAGTAGGGTGCACGTGGGCGAAGGTCATGCATGCGTAAGACATAATAGGTCGTACGCAGGTCTTATATAATAATAATTTGTGCCTTAAGGGCATTTTACTTTTAGCGTTAGTTAAATTGTGTAGCCGGCCGGAGACGAACGCGGCTCTATTGCGAACATTATTAATGTGCGTAGTAAATGACATACGCGAGTCGAAAGTGACTCCTAAGTATTTGACCTTTTTCTCCCAGGGGAGCGGTTGGCCATAAAGGGATATTTGCCCCAACTTTCTGCATTGACGAGGGCCATTATAAAGATGTGACGGGTAAGTACTTCGTGTGAAGTGAATCGCCACACTCTTTTCGGGATTTATTTCTATTCTCCATTTGCGGAACCAATCGCCCAGGCGGTTAGCAGCGCTTTGGAGTCGAGTGGTTAGTTGTCTAAGGTTGCGGTCTGAATAAAAGAGCGCCGTGTCATCCGCGAAAAACGCGAGATTGACGTGGGGGTCTTTAGGTATATCGCTCCTGTAACAATTATACTAAAGCTATTACACCTACAAAGGGATTCCAGCAAGCTGACTTCTACGGTGTAGTACTTAAAACGTTATTAACCGTTAGACTTGTTTGCACGAACGTCGCATAACAATCAAAAACCCATAAATCACTCATAAACTTTAAACTAAATTAATATTTCCTCAGTCATCATAAACTTTAGCGACGTACTTTGTATTTAAATCGTGCCTTCCCGCAATATTCCATCAACAGATCGACTACCAGACGCCCGCGTTTCCATACAATGGCCCATAAATTAATATTGCTTACGTAAACTTACGCTTTGCTATCGTTTTTGTCCACAGATTATATAAACGATGCGTTCGCGCTGAAGCGCGTGCGACGAGCGAAAACCAAGATGGCGGCGCCGCCCGCCGCCGTGGTGGTCGAACGCGCGTACAAGTACTATGGCCGGCAGGACAAGCCGGACTACAAGCCGGTACTGAATTACCTCGACATGACCGTCGAGAAGGGAATTATGTAAGTCAATGTTTTAAATTATAATTGACTAGCAACCCGCCCCGACTTCGCACGGGTACAATGTATTATACATATGAACCTTCCTCTTGAATCACTCTATCTAGTAGAATAAACCGCATCAAGATCCGTTGCGTAGTTTTAAAGATCTAAGCTTACATAGGGACAGACGCACAGCGGGACGACTTTGTTTATACTGTATAGTGATTTTCAGGAGTTCCCTAATTATCTCCGGAGCCCAAGATCCAATACCAATGAAATTCATATGGGACCACATGGGAAGCACCAGCTTTCAAATAAAAAAAGAATCATCAAAATCGGTTCGCCCAGTCGAAATTTCTGAGGTAACAAACATAAAAAAAATACAGTCGAATTGAGAACCACCTTTTTTGAAGTCGGTTGATAAAGCGAGCAAGATCGGATATCAAGGGGCTTGTGGTTAACAGATCTTATTGATGAACACATAACGGTATCCAAACTTACAGAGAAGACAGTCCCTGCGTTGTAGACGGCAAAGCCAATAATGACTCCACCGTCAATAAATTCATAAATCTGTATCCAGATTCTGTCGTACCCGAATTGCAACATAGATTGATGTACAAACTGGTAGCGATTTCTTTCGAAAACTTCTTTATAGCTTTTTTTACTACCTTTATTTGCGATCTGTCATGTGTTTTACTCTTGAAGATGGTCAAAGGTGATAGAATCACATAAAATTTACTATCCAGTTCGCCGTAGTTCGATGTTGCTTGTATATAAAGTGTGGTACTTAACAGAATTAATTATTAATGACAATCACCTTGACAAAAAGACTGGATAAGTCAAAAAGGGACGCCTTTTTCGGGAAATAAGTTTGGCGAACAGTTTGTCCACTTTAATTGGCATCTATAGACATGTATTAAAAATCTTATAAACTCAACACGATGTGATTTTTTAATATAAATCGATGGTGCGAAACCTTGGTTTCCCATCATCAAAGGGGACAAGGTCAACCCTTGAGTGTAAAGTTTATGAACCCTAAAGTACATAGATATGTGTACTAGGGTGATAATTAAAGTAATTATCATTGTCGTGTGAAAAGCAGAAAAACACTGCGTGAATCCATGTTTTAAATTATATACAGGCACCTACTCAGTAAAACATATTCACATTTTTTGTCCCCAGTATTTTTTATAAAGTTTTAGAATGTGATAATAACAAGAAACAAGAGGATAGTTTCTTGTGATTTCGTAAGATTATTCGAGTGGCTTTATCAATAGTCATAAACCGAAACACTAAACTGTTTCCGTTTTTCGTGTGATTTGGTCGTTGTATTTTTATTTTTTTTACAGTTTGTGAGACTTGAAGTACAGTTGTTCTAGTAATAGATACATAATATTTATTGTTGCTATTAATTTTCACTTGAATGAAATCCGCGATGTTTTTGAAATGTAAGAAGAGTTTTAGATATAAACAAACGATGGAATACATAAAGTACTCCGAAAACATTTTTGAGTTCAAAATTTGCAGAACCTTCACACAAAAATTGCACTTTTGTTAATGTGAAACGTTGCCAAGCGACCAGACGGTTCACCTGATGTTAAGTACATACCACCGCCCATGGACATCTGCGACACCCGAGGGTTCCAGAAGCGTTAACAAACTCTTGTCGTGGTACTTACCCGAACGAGCCTGCCCATCCGTGCAACAGCCGTGGGTGCTGCGTGGCCCTACCACCTTTAAACTGCACTACATTTACTTACAGCAATATCAACGACCTGTGACATAGACCAGGATTCAAATCTTTAATATTGGTTGCTACCTACAAGTTAATAATAAAAAATCTTAGAACCCTGACTGCGAAAAAAATTCCAAGATATACGCTGTTGCGCCAATAAATCAACAGAATTTCTTTTCTTTTTGTTAACATTGCCCTTACTGTAGACATTATCCTATGATGAAAAGACGTTTTACATACATAAATTTCACGTGGACGGATACCCAGATCCCAAACAATTGTCTGTACGTCACACAAATTTTAGGCCAGAGTGAGAATCGAACCAACGACCTCTGGCGCCGAAGCCAATATGTACTCAATGGAGTATTCAGTCATTCTGTTTATTTTTTATTTTTTTTTTATTTTACCTAGTGACGTACGCGCAATAAACTCGAAAGACGTAACTAACGACATATCATTAATCAGAAAAGATTCCTACCTTTAACAGTTACGAGGCAACATAGGGCCGGAAACATATGCATAAAGGTTAAACACATATTCCGCCTTTTTACGTTTCGCCATAGTCGAATGATAAAGCGATATTTCGAATGGTCACAGAATCAGCGATATCAAAGAAGAATCGAAAATGAAAAATTAGCAAGCGAGCAGGCGGTTCACCTGATGTTATGTGATTATCACCGCTCGTGTTACAACTAAATTATCTGACGTGTTTCAGATGCATTGCCAACCAGATGTTTATTATTATAGATGACGTACGTCCATACTGCGCGGCGTTTAAAAATGTTTCCCTTTACATTATATGACATATATAAGTGAAAGTGACAGATATAGAACGTATGATACGGAAAGAGATAGCAGTCTATAGAATTGAACAATCTAATAACACCAATTGGTGTAATTTGAGTGTCTCATTTTCAGTCTGCTAATGTCATATCTCGTATGTGTGTACCTGTACAATATCATTGTTGACAACCATTAAGCAGATATCCAGCAATAATCAGATCTACATACCAAAAATTCTAAATTGATATTATGTTGTAAAATATTCTTATGGAGAAATTTGTTATAAATAAATAATTTTAGCAGGTTAATTTGGGTATATCTGCAAAGAAGCTGTTCGTTCCCGCTTTAAGTGAGCAGTGCATAGTTTATCCATAGTTTGTCCTGTTTTACTCTTCGGGCACGAAACCCTATTTCATGCCCGAAGAGTAAAATGGGGCCCTATTACTAAGAATCCGCTGTCTGTCTGTCCGTCCGTCTATCTGTCACCAGGCTGTATCTCGTGAACCGTGATTGTTAGACAGTTGAAATTTTAATAGATGATGTATTTCAGTTGCCACTATAACAACAAATACTAAAAAATAGAAGAAAAAATATTTAAGTGGGGCTCCCATACGACAGTTATGTACGTTTATAGGATCGCCCAAACGTCTTTCTGTGGGTGTATCATAGTCTACTTTCTTTGAATCTACAGAACAAAGCTGTGGTAGGGCTAAGCAAAACAGCCATTAATGTTGCACGAATGGGCAGGTACGTCCGGGGAAGTCCCCGATCTTAGGTACACTCCTACGTTTCGTCTAGTGAGTGGGGTAGCTGAGGCGCACTTTATTAAAAGGTGGCAACGTATATCCAACCCTACAAAAATAAAAACATTTAACTTAGCACATTATATAACGAACTTTTTCATTCCGTAGACAAAGCTTAATCGAACGCGATTTCTCAAAGTAATGATTTATACCGGAGAACCTTTCAAGGGAATCCGACTTGCGGTAGACCGGTTATTTGCTATTTGCCTTGCCGAAGTAATCTCGTTGCGATAGCCTTGTCTTTAGCTAGCGAATAACCTTGGATCACATTATACAATCAGAAGGATTATATAATATTTTCCTTCCTATAAAAAGTTTAAGTCCCTCGCCTTATTCTTTGTTCTTGTTTTTGTGTCGTAGCGGCGAACGTAAAAAAATGGACTGCCAAAAACCTTATTTAAATTAAATACGCCTTATCGTCTAACAATCAACAACGGATTCGTGGCAAATATCAACAATGCCAACTTTATCTTAAGTCATGATCAACAATATTCAGATTATAATTAAAACAATAATTGCGTTTAAATAAAATATTAAATATGAACCTTTAGACTTTTTTTGCACGTGTCGGTGCCGCGGTTTTGTACGTGTTATGTACAACTGATTTTTATACGATACCAAAAACCACGTGTACATAAAAGTGCTCTATCTTTGTGTAACAAATAGAAGAATTCTTAAATATTACGAACACAGAGTACTTTTATGTACCTGATTACGACGGTACAAAAGATGTTTATTAATGTAAAGATATAAAGCGGTTTTCTATTAATATAACCACCTTAATACAAAATAATACAGTCCCATGTCTTCTTGAGATGGTGGGAAGCAAGCTGGTGGTTCATCTGATATTAAGTTATAACAGTTGCAGATGCGTTGCCACCTTTTAGTAAAATGGTCGCCGGCTACCTCAATCACCAGACGAAACGCAGAAGTATAATTCTTCCACTTCACGCCGGTCTTCTGTGAGGTCATGATACTTCATCAGACGGACCGGCGCATTCGTGGAAAGCGAAGACTGTTTCATGGCCATATCCCACAGTTAAAAATAAGATAAAATCCAGATATTTAGCGTGCACCTACCATAAACTCTCACCACATTCTAGGTTGACGGGTAGAGAATGCCTTTGGGCATTAAGTCCGCCCTTTGTTACCTTGTTTTACTGAAGGTTCGCAATAAAGAGTAAATAAATAAAAAAAAGTTGAGTGATAATCATTGAAATAACGGTCTTTGCCTCAGTTATGGACTCCTCGGCGCCTCTGGCTGTGGGAAGACCACACTGCTCTCCTGCATAGTCGGAAGACGGAGTCTTGACAGTGGAAACATCTGGGTACTGGGCGGAAAGCCTGGTGAGAAGGGCAGCGGCGTTCCTGGACCCAGAGTGGGGTATATGCCACAGGTGAGGGAACTTTTCAACTTGATTGTCGCAGCTTATCTTCTTTCATCTCTTTAACGACGTAAATAAAATGGGCGTACAGTTGTATTGATATGCAGTTTGCCAATCCATGATAGGATCGCATGGTGGATTTAATACCCTCTGTACAGCGGAGGCTGTGCCTAGCATTGGGACATATAGTCGTAGAGACTTACTTTGCGTTGGTATTGTCACTCTGTGTTAGTTACAAAGCCTGTCCGTTTATACAACAGCAGAAGCTGCGACGGTTACTGAAATCTATTACGCAAAATTATAAATTATAAACAGTATAATAGGTATTAGTAAATGTATCTGAATCATAATACAACTTTATTTCAATGAAATATATAAACGAGATGAAATATATAAATAATATGAACTATATAATAAATAAGTAGACGTGTGCAGTTTATGTCTGCGTCATCACAAGTGATTATGGCCATTTGACATCATGCTGTAATTAAAAACGTGTTTAGATAGGTTATGGTTGAAAGATGGTGTGATTACTTTTATGATAACTGCGAAACAAGCATTAGATGGGTGTATGTATATTTTTTAATGTGAAAAGTTGGCAAGTGAGCAGGCGCTTCACATGATGTTAAGTGATTACCACCGCCCATGGACATATACAGACCTGGTGGATTGCACATAGAAAAGAGATAGAACTTTACTGTGATAGGACCACGCAGCAGTGTTCACTGTTGCACGAACAGGCAGGTCCGTCCGGCTAAGTACCACGACCTCACAGAAGACCGGCGTAAAGTAGGGTGTTACACTTTTGCGTTTCGTCTGGTACCTTTATCACTTAACATCAGGGGAACCGGCGGCTCGTTTGCCAATTTCTCATATAAAATAAAATACTGAGATTATGTGAATCGTCCATGGATGCTATAACGGATATCGTAAGCTATAACGGTTGGTTATAGCTTACGATAACCGTCAAATCAAATCAAAAATGTCTTTACTCAAATAAACACTTGAGCGTTCTTATGAATCGTCAAATTTTACATAAAAAATAATATATATAGGTTCGTAAGGTACCACCCGTCATGAGGTAACCGTCCGTTTACCTCACTGGCCAGACGGTTATCGTAAGCTATGAACTCACACAAATGTACATAACCATTTTTGAAAAACAAAAACGACTTCAAATATCTCTGTATTCATTTTAAATTTGTTTTTATGAGTTCACCAAGTGTCTCCGGAGCCCAAGATCCAACACCAATGAAATTAATATGGTACCACATTGGAAACACCAGCTTTCAAAAAAAAAAAAAAAATACAGTCGAATTGAGAACCTTTTTTGAAGTCTTGTTGAAAACCCGATCACGCTACGGGGTGAAAATTTGGCTTAAGTCAACTAGTAAATTTATAATACGGAAATAAAGAATAAAGTAACAGCCTATATATGTCCCTCTGTAGAGCAAAGGCCTCTTCTGAGAGGGTACTCTGTGTACTCCTGTTTAATATTTCGTATCGGTATTTTCTTACATTTGGGGCAGATTATATTTTTTTCATTAACAATTTTAATCTATAGTCAAACGTAACCGTTGAAATAATTGACAATAGAAAATTGGTGAAAACTACCATAATACAGAAAAAAAATTAAATCCCCAAATTTTAAACTAAAGACATCCGCCTTTACTGTACAACATTCAATTTATGCAAATGTTTTGAGAAGTAGGTAATTCATGTTTTTACTTTGATGGCAGATACAGGGATAAAGATAAGTAATATAAACCACAAAGACATTTTACAATTTATAAGAAACTTAGAACTTTAGCTCCAATGTAAAAACTATTCATCAACAATTAAACCATATTGAAATACTTTTGAATTAATAATAAAAGAAAAAAAATATGTTTTTATCAATCTAGCTTTTTGTAGTGGTTCTTATATTGTATGATAAATTCTGTATAAACATATAATGGTGTAGTGTTGTAACACACGGAAATAGATGGGGCATCTTAATTCTTTACATTGTGTATATCACGTTAGTGTATCGAACAAAAACATTTAAATTAAAAACCGGCCAAGTGCGAGTCGGACTCGCGCACGAAGGGTTCCATACCATCCTTACTAATCTTTACTAATATTATAAAGGCGAAAGTTTGTTTGTATGGATGGATGTTTGTTACTCTTTCACGCAAATACTACTGAATGGATTTTAATCAAACTTTACAATAACTATATACATCAGAATAAAACATAGACTCTAATTTATATACATATTTTATGTATATGTTTATTTTTATGTATATCGTCTTTCTGTCTGAATGTTACGCCTTCAGCCTATTCTACACAGACGTAGTCGCAAGCAGCAGCTAGTATTATAAACGCGAAAGTTTGTATGTATGGATGGATGTTTGTTACTCTTTCACGCAAAAACTACTGAATAGATTTAAATGAAACTTTACAATAATATAGATTATACGTCAAAATAACACATAGGCTATAATTTATAAAGATATTGTGTGAATTGTCTAAGACTTGCCCAAAAATTTTCCTTACTAATATTATAAACGCGAATGTTTGTATGTATGAATGGATGTTTGTTACTCTTTCAGGCAAAAACTACTGAAGAGATTTTAATGAAACTTTATAATAATATATATTATACATCAGAATAACATATAATTTATAAAGATATTGTATGAATTGTCCTTTAAGGTGGTAGGGCCACGCAGCAGCCTCGGCTGTTGCACGAATGGGCAGGCCCGTCCGGGTAAGTACCACGACCTCACAGAAGACCAGCGTAAAGTGACAGTATGACAAATTTTCGTCTGGTGAGTGAGGTAGCCGGAGCCCAATTTTCAAAAGGTTGTCAACGCATCTGTAACCCTCGGGTGTGGCAGATGTCCATGGGCGGCGGTATTTACTTAACATCAGGTAAACCGTCTGCTCGTTTGACAACTTTTCGCATTAAAAAAAAAAAAAAAATACAGGTGATGATATGTGTTAACTAAGTAGGAGCAAAATTCAGCGACCGCGCGGACGAAGCCGCGGTTAACAGCTAGTTATCTATAAAAATGGTCCCCTTACTTATGAAGATAGTTGAGAAGTAAACAAGACTTATCTCTGCACAGGACATAGCGTTGGTGGCGGAGTTTTCGGTGAGGGACGCCGTGTTCTACTTCGGCCGGATATACGGCATGCCCACGCAGAAGCTAATCGAGCGCTTCGAGTTCCTCACGAGCCTGCTGGATCTGCCCAGCGGTGGGCGCCTGATAAAGTCCCTCTCCGGCGGGCAGCAGAGGCGGGTCTCGTTGGCGGCGGCATTGGTCCACGAACCGGAGCTGCTCATCCTGGACGAGCCGACCGTGGGGTTGGACCCGGTTCTTCGGGAACGGTAAGCGTTACAACACCTTTTTAAGTGAGAAAGCCGAAGCGAAATTTTCAAAAGGTCGCCAACGCATCTGGAGCCCTCGGGTGTACAAGATGTCCATGGGCGGCGAAATTTACTTAACATCAGGTGAACCGTCTGTTCGCTTGGCAAATTTTTACATAAAAAAAAGTGAAAAGGTGGCGAACGAGCTGGCGGTTTCTCATAATTGATTTTTTCATCGCCGTTCGTCTTACGCGACAGGGAGATGCAGCTCACGCTATTCTGTACGCTCGCGACTACAGTATCTGCCTCGTCATAATTCAGCCTGTTTGAGTCCACTGCTCAACATAGGCTTCCCCCGTATACCGCCACGAAGTACGATCCTGAGCCACCTGCATCCATCGACTTCGGTCGTCCTACGGTGCGATGGCCCGTACGAGCCTGCAACTCGAGAACCTTCCTTCCCCAACGGCTATGGTTCTATGAGCTATATGTTATTTATACAGTTATAAGTCTATTATGTTCGCTCATGAAGTTTTTTAAAAAAAAGATGAAAGCTTCAGATCATATATAGTAAAAACTATCTGCTGCCCGCGACTACGTCTGCGTAGAATAGACTGAAGGCGTAACATTCAGATAGAGAGACAGATATACATAAAATATGTATATAAATTATAGCCTATGTCTTATTCTCATGTATAAGCTATATTATTCTAAAGTTTCATTAAAATCCATTCAGTAGTTTTTGCGTGAAAGAGTAACAAACATCCATCCATACGTACAAACTTTCGCCTTTATAATATTATTAAGGACTAGCTGTGCCCTCGACTTCGTCCGCGTGGAATTTAAAATAAAAAAAATCTAAAATAAAATAGCCTAAGTTACTCCTTATTACATCAGCTATCTGTCAGTGAAAGTCCCGTCCAAATCGATCCAGCTGTTTCAGAGATTAGCCGGAACAAAGAGACAGACAAACAAACAAAAATTGTAAAAAAATTTATTTTGGTATATGTACCGTGTCGTGTATTCATCCATATGCATTTAGTAAAAAGTGGTTATTTTAATATTACAAACAGACACTACAATTTTATTTGTCTGTATAGATGACATGATTAATCCGAGACAGATTTGCTTGACTGACACGTGAAATCTAATATATAAAATTCTCGTGTCATGGGGTTCGAACTTGAACTCCTCCGAAACGGCTTTCCTGATTTTTACCAAATTTTATATGCATATTCAGTAGGTCTGAGAATCGGCTACTATCTATTTTTCATACCCCTAAGGGATAAGGGTTGTTCACAATTAACATTTTTTTTTTTAATTTTTGGACAAAATTTTTTGTTTTTATTTTTTTATGATACAGCGTACAAAAATACATACAACCCTAAATTTTCACCCCTCTACGCAGACGTAGTCGCGGGCAGCAGCTAGTGAATTTATAAATATAAAAAGCACGCGACTAGCGATGTCGCCTTTTTGTTCAACCCTAATTAGCTTTACAATCAAGTAGGTTTTTTATCATTATTTCCGCCACGTTTTTCATCGATTTAAATTTTAAACGATCACACGCTGTTTATAAGAAGATGCTGCTATGTTAACGACTTATTCATGACACACGCGTTCTTGACCCCGCTACAAAAATTTTTCGGTTTGAAGTCCTTGTTATAAACATGCTTTTTTAGGTTTCCGTACCCAAAGGGTAAAACGTGACCCTATTACTAGCACTCCGCTGTCTGTCTGTCCGTCTGTTACCATGCTATATTTATCATAAACCGTGCTAGTAACAGAGTTGAAATTTTCTCAGATGATGTATATATTAATATACTGCAAGGCTTTATATTTATTTCTTACTCGACATAAGATACAGATATAGTAATTGTATGTAACGTTATCTATGTCTATGGGGGAGGCTTATGTTCAGCAGTGGACTCAAACAGGCTGAAATGATAATGATGATGTGTACAATTATAAATTTGGCTTAAGTATATATTAATCAAAACCTTCCCTTTATAGTCAGCTTATGATTATGCAGGTTTAAATTTTATTTATTGCGACAACAGATTTTTTATTTTTGTCTCGTTGTGGTTTTCTTTTGTTATTATATACTTACATCATCTATGTGATGCAGGTCAATAATAAAATGTATTCTTCATCTCACGCCTCTACGACCCAAAGACCATAAATTTAACATGATCAAATCTGTCATAATATGATGAAGTTGTTGCATCTATAAACCTGTTAAATATTTATTGTTTCATTTGCCTGTTTCTTTTTATTTCATACCGCGTAAAACGTACACACGTGATAAACATGAACTACTCTTTGATCCGTTTTAGTATACCGATTTCGCAAGGATTTTATAAACATGACATCAAAGCCACAAACAGTATTAAATGAAACTCTTTTAGGGATATTATCGCGTTTAATTAGATTTTTTAAATCCCGACATTTCGAACCCATTCGAACATTCGCGTAAAAACAAAAAATCATTGCAAAAACAGTGTGTAAATAGGATTTAGGAGATGAAATAAAGTTTGATAAGTAGATTTGTTAAATTTTCTGTTATATTATGCCAGTTTTAATAACCGAATATACATGACTCCTACACGATAAAGTAAACAGAACCTGAGAAATCACTCGTGTTCTTAACATAACATACGTAATGTAAAAAATCATAGCCAAATAAGTTAAACATTACTCGTGGCTTTGATTTTAGGCAGGCGAAGTAGCCTAGTTTTTTTTTTTTTAATAAAATGAGTAAACTAATTTCGAGTCGGTTAAAAAGCGATTTAAGTTTCGATCGACGCGCATTTTTACAATAATTTGCTTAAATAGAAACCTCGGTTTGTTTTCCTCATAAGGGACACGGTCAGATGCGATGGGACAGAGACACGAAATAAAGAAAAATATTAAAACTTAACCAATGTTGTGTGTACAACTAATATGTGGTGAATTGGAACATTTAAATAAAATAAAATAAATAAATATTTTAGGACACATTTTTACACAACGTTCTCTAGTCCCAAATTAAGCAACGCTGGTACTATGGGTACTAGATAACCGATAAACATACTTAAACATACTTCTCTTTTGTAATTAAATACATATTATACATATATAAACAACCGGACACTATAGAAACCCTTTGTTCATCACACAATACTTTTCCAGTAGTGGTGTTCGAACCCACACCCTATGACGCAGGAGGAAGGTACACTGCTCCCTACGCCATTCGAGTCGTCTAACAAACATTAATCAATTAAACCGATTAGAGTTAAAAACTTACAGATTATTCTTTATACTTTAAGTTTTAAGAGTTTATGTGTACAGTTATGACCACAAAAATACTTAGTGGCTGTATCCTTAACTTGTCTTTCTTGATATGTAAAGTTAATAAAGTAATAGCCCATCAAAGTTTTTTTTTTTTCAAACTGGCCAGCACTTGACTGCCATCCCACCTGATGGTAAGTGGCGATGCAGCCTTTGATGGTAAGCGCGCTAGCTCAGTAAAAACCGTCTGAATGTACCAATGTCTGGCAGAGGCCTCGTCAGTGCCAAGTGAGTGGTCTGAATGGACTTGGTCCAACCAGACCATTCTCGAGATGAACTAAATCAACTACGTCATTTTACTTCAAAATTGTAATGAATCGATTGGAGATTTGGTTTCACACAAACAGGATGATACTAAATAATAAAAAAAAATCGTCGATGGTTTCATGCATGGTATCAACAAAACGCAAGATATTTTTAAAAACAATTTATCTAACACCCTACAATGTTACTTTCTTATAATATGTTTATTGCATTATATTGTCAGAAACAAAATAGGCCTTTTGTGATTAATTTTTTTAATGATACTATATTGAAAAATGGGTGCATGTACTTATGTACGCACGTGAGAAGTTATACTTCTTTGGCATCATTAAAATAGTTTTTAATTGCACGCAAATAATTAATTACAATAAAATATCAAAAGGACTGGAAAAGGATATAAATAATAAAATTATAAAAGCGCCATATACATTCTTTATTGAGAACTGTAACGAGCGAACAGCAGCTTCAAAGGTGTGACTTTTGTGTTACAGTGATGCGCGCGCATCTTAAAATTTTTCATATTTCATTTTTTCATAACGCGCCTAAAGATGTATAACTTCAAAATTAAAAAAAAACATTTATTGCATTTTTTATTTTCAACTAGTTTACTAGTCATTTTTTTTGTTGGTTCTGTATTATCTGTTATCGACACATATAATTGTAAAACTCCGCCACCCAGTTCTTATTTTTTTATGTGAATACCTGATGTTAAGTATAAAGTAATAGTCAAGACATCTGCAACACCCATAGGGTTGCAGATACGTTGCCACCTTAAACGGGCCCCGGCTACCTCACTCACTAGACGAAACGGAGAAGTCTAACACTACTTTACGCTGATCTTCTGGAAGGTTGTGGTAATTACCCGGACGGACATGCCCATTCGTGCACAGCGAAGACTGTTGCGTGGCCCTACTACAGTAAGCCTTAGCTTTATAATAAAAAAATTGAGTCTTAACAACCTCTTTGTATTATTAAAATAAAAACAGTAACACCGGTGTAATAAATGTCCACCAAAAATATAAATCACGCTAATGTCCTATAGTACAAATAACTTGCATATTAAGGTGTAAGACATTTATTTTCTCAAAAGATTTACACCAAATCACTTACAGAGAAAATACAAATACTATATTATGTACAACAAAAAAATTTCAGAACTGGCGAAGCTAGTGGACTAATTATAATAAAAAGTGATGAAATATAAGGTAGTTACAAAAGAAATACATAAGAATTTTTACAAAGTGTGTGGTACATTCTAACTAAGCGGTAATTACCTATATTTGGAATACAAAAGGTGTTTACTTAGGTCTATAACATAGTGGCTTTATGATTATTGACTATTTATTATGTATATGAAATATATTAAATGGACTCATGAGCATATGAATACAAATATATGCATACATATGTGTATTTATTTATCAATG